GTTGCTGTAGTGAGAAAAGCATGCATTAAAAGTCTGGACTTGTTTTGTTTACTTGTTCTATTATCAGCCAACCTTCTGACTTTAGACAAATCCATTCACCTCAATTTTTTAAAATCTGTACAATGGGTATGATAATATACACCACACAAGTTTGTTGCAAGGATTAGGTGAGGTAACCCAAAGAAAAAAATTTTTATAGACAATAATTCTTCTTAAAACCAAGCCTGAGCCTTCATGCTTGTGAACAAAGTGGTCTTTTGTACACACTACAACCTACAAGTTAAAAGGGAAACTTACATTTTTTTCTACACTTGCCCTACACCTTGCACATCCAACACATACACATATTATACCTTATTTTTTCTCCTCCTCAAAGTGTTCTGAATCCTATCTCTTAGCCAATGAAGCTATAGTAAGAGGAAGATATTTTCTACTAAATTCATGGTACTGCTTTGAGCTTTCTGACATCAAGCCTCACACTCACATCTGTCCGGAAACCTCTTCTGCATTTTTCTTGCAAATAGGATACAACACACACTGCCATAGACTTTTTTAGAGATTATGAGTAATTTGATTTTCAACCCCTGGAGTTTTCTTCCAGAATATCTGGGGATTTGGAGTATCAAAACAATAGAAAGTAGTCTATTCTCTTAAGACTAGTTAAGAAAAATAAATTGACTTACAACTAGAGATGCTATTTTAACAGCTGTCTTACACTTCAGTCACTAAGTCTCCAGGTCATGGTGTAGTCCAGACTTTGAAAAGGTTGGGGAAAAATCCAAAGAGAAAGGTGTAAGGGCAAAAGGAATAGGGTAAAAGAAAAAAGGATTAGGTAAAAGGAGAACAGCAAAGAGAAAAACAGCGTCCTGTCTTGGTTTTCTTGTCTTTTTTGTAGACTACTCAAATGCCTAATTGAGCTTCCTTTACTTTTCCCTACCTAGACTCTTTTTTATTATACATCAGTTTTTACCTTTTCCCTCTGAGATGTAATCCAAAGTAAGCTGGATGTGATCACCATGTGTTTTTGCTGTCTATGACCTGATCAATTACCTTAAGCATATTGGCACCAACAGGAAAAATCTGAGGAGGTGGAAAGCAAGTGTGTCAAATGCATTTAATATTGGGATATTCCGTTGTAGAAGCCAAATGGCATTTGGACTCACTTTGGGTTTCAAATACTCTTTTAACATCACATGCATAATAAGCACATGCTGGCAG